ATGTACTAATCAAATTCTTTACAATTTGTATATAACTAAAAAACATAATGAAGATTTAAAAAATAAAAACATCAATAAATAGCTGGGCGTTGTGGCAGGTGCCTATAGACCCAGCTACGTGGGAGGCTGAGGCAAGAGAATCACTTGAGCCCAAGAGTTTGAGGTTGCTGTGAGTTGTGACGCCAAGGAACCCTACCAAGGGTGACATAGCAAAAGTCTGTCTCCAAAAAATAAATAAATAAATAAATAAAAATATCATAGGGTTCTTATGAAGCCAATTTGTAAACTGTCTAGACCTAGAAGACTCAATAAAACATAATTTCCACAGCTCAACTCCTCTCACCTCCTGAAGTTTCTTAAATTCCATCTTGAATTCAGTGAACAAAACCTAGAAAAGTTAAACATTTATTTTTCTGAAGGCCATAGTTATCAAGAAAGAGACAAACAAGGACAATAGAACTGAGCTTTTAAACCACTCTCCTCAAAACATACCAAAGAATTTAATCTGAAAAGAAAAAATTTCCATAAGTTTACTAATGCAAATCAAACCATTCAGAAAATTCACGGTGGAAGTTGCAATGTAAAATGATTAAATGATAATACCATCAAGTGAAAAGGAATTTGATACCTTAATCTTTGGACCATCAAGGCAAATTCCTGATTCAGGTCAGAGAACAATTTTCACTGGAAAAAAAACACAATACAAATATAATTAACCACTACAATTTATTTACAAATAAGGTAAAATATAACCTCCGTTTGTAAGGAAAGATAATTTTTGCTTTGAGAGTATACTGAGATAGATCAATGTAATCTAACTGATGTAGGTAGGTTGTCACCTCATACTTCACAGAATATTTTCAGAAGGAAAAACTTTCTGTTCGTATTCAAATGGATAAAGTGAACAAGTAAAGAAGAACAACAGTTTTACAGGTCAAAAGGTGCCATTTTAAAACCACAAAGATACATTGGGACCGCAGACGCTGGTAATGTGGCATCTGACGTTGCTTAACTTAATGACAAGTCAGTAAAATTTTACAAGTACCTAACTTGTCCATAGACGTGTGTAACTCTTGCATTTCCCAACAAGTACGTATAAGCACATAATTTAACCCTAGTATAGCACTTATACTGGACGACCATTTAATGAATACACATTCCTGAGAAAGAATTTCCGGGGGGGATTATTGCATTTCTATAGACTCCTTGTCTTACTTTAGACTACTTCGGAATCTATTTACGAAAAAGAGGAAGCACAGTTAACTTTAGAGAGAGAGAACTTTACAGCGATCTGCATAACTATTTTATCTCAACATTGCTGAGCAGCTGATGCTGCTGAATTTAAGACAAAATTCAAAACTTGAATGGTAAAAGCTGGTGTGTAAGAGATTGCCCAGCCGCCCCCCTCCCTCATCTTTGTCCTATCCAGTTTCTGCAGGCCACCTGGAAAGTCCCACGCCGGATGTCACTAAGCTCTCCTCAATCTTAACGGATCAAGACAAGCCCTTTGCTCGGCCTTGAACCGCTGCCGCTCGATCTCCCCTTCCGGCCCACATCCCCGCACCCTGTTCCGGGGCCCCGCGCACCGCGGCCGGAGGCCAGGTCCGGGTGGGCTGCCCCTCCCAAGGGCGCGCGGCCGGAGAGCGCCTGTGACTCACCGACCCGGGCCCTCGGCCAAACCGCCCGGCCTCACCCACGCCCCGCTCCCCGGGACTTGGTCTCTCAGCGCCCCCCAGAGGCCCAGGCCGCTTCACCGGGTAGGCTCCCTCCCCTACTACCCCGGCAGCTAACGGACCTGAGAGCCCAGTAGAGGGCAGGGGTCGGCCCGAGCGGAGACCCGGCCGCTGGCATGTCTGCCCCTCCCCCGCACCCCGGCTGCACGAGCATGCGCGCAGGGCCAGCCCGCGCCTGCGCGCTCCCGACGCCCCGCCGGCACGCGCCGCC